TTTAAATGTCAATTACAAGCAGATTAATTAAATAGCTATGTATTTCATATAACTGAGTATTAATCACACATGTATATATTTACAAACACATTAACATTATGGGATTTATTAATTTCATTATTTCTGTCTTAATTTTTGTGTCTTCTTACTCCTATTGCTATTCTTTTCTCTTTTTTGATATTTTCTGAAGGAACCTTTATCATTATTGTGACTTCTTCCTGGATTATATTAATATTTCCAGATTCTAAAAAAAGGTTTAAAAGTTAGATCATCTCAGACCAACTGAGATTGTAGAATTTGGGTCACAGATGATTTTATTCTTAGTGGAGTCATAGGGCCTGGCTGCTTCTTACAGGTCGTCACTTAATGGATTTATCTGCTTCCAGCCCTGACACTCTCAAAAAGATTTTAAATGTTTCTGGAATGTGAGGCTCTCTTGTCATCTTCCAGATAAAATACAAAATCCTTAGTCTGATATGCAATGCTCTTGATAATATAGCAATCCCCTTCCCAAGGCCTTGTAGCCTTGTCCTCTAACGGTCTCTCATACAAACAGGCTTCCAGCTATGCTCAACTCTTTCTCTGCCTCCCTTGAAAGGCTTCGCTGCACTCTGCCAGCAATTGTTTAAGACTTAGTTCTCTAGCAACTTGTTTGCAGCACTTAAGACCTATCTGTAATTGTTTATTAATAGCCCATGAATCCTCAGAGGACAGACAGGTACTTAGTAAAAGCTGTTAAATTTTGCACGAATAAGTGTTTCCTCTTTTATCCACATACTCACTGAGTCCCTTTAAGTCAGCTAACTAGTTAGGGATGATTTTCCTTGTACAGATATCTAGTTCTACTGGCGTACATGTTTTGTGTTCCTAGACTTTGTTATAGATTTTCCTCGTACAGAAATCATGTTTTCAGAGTCACCTCATGACTTCTTAAGGAAGGGAATCATTTTATCAAGTGTACAGGACAACATCCATATAAAAAAGTTACTCAGCAGTTTCATGGTTTTTCATTCTTGATTTTGTCCAGAATTTTGGGAAGAGTAAGATCTAGTGCCAGGGATTTACCAGTGTGGTCTAATGGCATTTATTGTCTGTACCCCTAGAGGCTCTTAGCATGAGGCAACTTCCGTTGTATCTTATTTGATTTTAAATTAATGTAATACTCTTTAATCATAGCAGGTCGAATACAGGTGTTCATTATTGCTCACTCACAAAATGTCACAGTAAAGGGATACAAAATAATTTAAAAATCAACCCACTAAGACAGCATGAACAGGAGAGGAGCTCAGAGGTATAGCTTCTTACACCAACTTTCCACCAATCTGTCTTCAAGCCCCCCAAGAACCTTGGCTACCAAGTGTACGGCATCAGTAAGTTTGGAGCCTCTCTGTGGCATAAATTGGCTTGCTTCCTGTTGACTTTGACTGCAGACTTACGCTTTGGTTTTTCTTGGTTGTTTAAGTTGGCATCCACTATTCCAGCAACTTTCCAGCTTTCAAAAGATTTGTATTTCTCATCTCTTTCATCTCCTCTCATTTTCTCTTTGCCTTATGAGTTTATATTGTTTTCTTTCTGCCATTTCCATTATATTTCAGGAGGAATAATAAACACATAGGTTCAATTGGCTAAGTTTAACCGAAAGTCATCTTTTCACTGTTCTTTATGTTATCGTGTGTGTGCATGTGTGTGTGTGTATGTGAGTGTGGTCTCTCCAACTAGATGGTGAATTGATTCCAAGGAAACCATTGTTGAAGTGTTATTTGTACATTGGTAGATTGTACCTTCCAAATATCAGTTCTTCTGTTTGTGGTTGATATTACCAATTACCTTGGCTAGTAGGCACAGGAACTCTTGGGGGTACACAAAAGATTTTTCAAGAACATCGGCAATTTCCAGGTCAACTTCCATCTGTTCCCTCTCCTAAAATTCATCTGAGATTATGTGCAGCCCAAGTATCCTATTGGCTTTCTTTTCTCTCTTCCTTTTTCATAAGGCCTTCCTCAGTCTTTACTACACACACACATCTAAATCTTTTTCTGGCACAATTTTCCCAGAGTGTAAAAACCTGCAGGGTAGCATACAAAAATACAATTTGAAATATTTCCTTTTTTTGTCAAGAACATAGCCTGGTGTCGGAAAATGGATATTTGTCCTATGCCTGAATTTACATATATTGTAGAGTGGGGGAAGGGAGGCAGTAATGACAATTTTTAATTAAAGACTTTGCCTTGTTTAAGGCCATGCTACCTTGAACATGCCCAATCCCATCTGATCTTGGAAGCTAAGCAGGGTCAGGCCTGGTTAGTACTTGGATGGGAGACCACCTAGGAAGACCAGGTGCTGTAGGCGTAACAAAAAAAAAAAAGACTGCCTCTTCCATTTGCTGTCAAAGAAAGCATTGTTCCTGAAGAAGAGTCCAGTGAAAGGAAAGCACAGAAAGCTGAGAAATGTTGAAGGGGAAGACATCTTACTTCCTCCAGCAAATGGCAAGCCTCCGCACCCAGTCTAACCACCTTATAACACTATCATTCAAAATGTGTAAAAAGCATACTAAGACAGCACACAGATCTTAGATTTTTTTTTTAGGCGAGGCAACACTTGGTTGACCTTACAGGTTGCAAGGACCTTGTCAGTTTACAGTCCCTTATTTTATTTTTTATGCCTACAGCACCTGGTATTCCAAGGTGGTCTCCCATCCAAGTACTAACCAGGCCCAACTCTGCTTAGCTTCCGAGAACAGATGGAATCAGGCTTGTTCAGAGTAGCATGGCCATAGACAAATCTTAGGTTCTAAACACTGTTCTCCAGTGAAAAAATCAGGGCAGGTCCCTTGGAGAAGCAGTTGGTTCCAAAGTACAGGCAGGGAGAAAACAAGATGAACGTGGAGTAACGTAGGGAGGAGCCAAGAGAAGGTTAAATCAAGCAACATTCAGAGACTGCAATCTGCTGATCAGCCCTGCAGCCAGGCCACTGAGGACAACTGGAGAACAAAGGAAAATTTCTGCTGTGATTGCTAACAACTCATTTCCCACACCTGTGAAGGGGAAATAGGAAAATAGAGTCTTTAAGTGGCTGCCCTACACAAAATAAATTTGTTCATCCCTATGGCTAAAACCGCAGGGAACCTATGGATTAAAAGCTGGAACTGCCAGCAGGCCTTTCACGCTATCTTACCTTTTCATACTATATACCCTTCTCCTTCGCCTTCCTCACTCTATGTCCATATCAAAGAAAATGGGTAAAGAAAGTCTTTAAATTGCAGCTCACTGGAACTAAAGAATGATATATAAACTGAATTCCCTGAACACTCTGGGTCTGTCTTTACTCTGTCCCTCTCAGTGCCTTTACTCTGTCTCTCTCACTGTCCTCATCTCTATCGTCTCTGATCCTCTTGAGTCTCTGTCAGGCTCTCTCACTCTCTGCCTCCGAAGGGACACCACGATCTGCCTATGGAGTGGTACCCCTTTTCTAATAAACTTTCCTTTTGACTTTAACTTTGGCATGTGTGTTGAATTCTTTCTCTACTCTCTACCAAAGGACCCTCTCTTCTCCTCTTGGTGCAGGGCTTCGTCTCCCTGTCCCCTAACTCTGGGAAATTTGCCCTGTCCTGCATCAGAACATCTTGTGGTCCCAGAAAGTAAGAAAATACTTTTTTAAGAAAATGAGGATTTGTCGAAAGAACAAAGGAGCCAACCTGAAGGAGCTCTCCTGACAGCCTAAGGTGGGACGATGTGAGCAACAAAATCAATAGCAGTATTAGTGGATTTTATCCCATAAAACAAAATAAACACCCACAGCCCACACAATAAATAATTAAATAAGTGAAAGAGATGAAATAGCTCTTCCTTACAAAATTCCAGTCAGTGGAAGGAAAGCAGGAAATAGAAAATCACCATTGGCAAAACATCACAGTAATAATTGTCACAGACAAGATCCACTAAAAATATTTGGGTGAGTGTGAGGAGAATCAATTTACATCATCTCAAAGTATCTTCTCACAGATATTATTAACTAAAAGGAGAAAGCTGACAGAAACCACCTCAACCATGTGATCAAGGTCAACATCGCCAATAATAAATGACATATCGACATTAGGATCCTGTGATTTGATGGACTGAAGATACAACTTCATTTCTGCAATATTCTTCCAGAAAGCATAACCTCAGTTCAATCACAAGAAAACAACAGACAAACCCAAACTGAGGGACATTAGACAAAATAACTGATTAATACTCTTCAAAAGTCGTTAAGGACTTGAAAGACAAAGAAAGACTGAGGAACTGTTACAGACAGTAGACTTAGAAGTAAATGCATTTTCTCAGTAATATTCTGGAACAGAAAAAGGACATTAATGGGAAAACTGGTGAAATATGAAAAAGGTTTATGGTTTAATTAACAGTGTTTTACCACATATTAATTTCCTTGTTCTGATCCAGTGACAATGATGGTTATGTAAGATGCTAACATTTGGGGAAACTAGGTGAGATATATAGGAATATTGTAATATTTTTACAACTTTTCTGTAAATCTACAATCAGTTCAAAATAAAAAGAATAGAGTCATGAATATGAAGTACATCTTCTCTGCTTTTTTTCATTGCTAGTGCCAACTTGTGGCCTGATGCCATATTTTGATTCCAGAACAAAAATTCATTATTGTAGTCATACTAATGAAATGTTTGTAAAATGAAAATTTATGATCCAATTACTCCTTTTGAAATGGTTGGGTTGAGAAATAATGCACTTCCTACATTTGCTAGGGACTCAACTTCCAGAGTTTTGCTTTAAGGAAGGATGGGAGAAACTCTTTGGAAGTCAGTCTCCATTTTGCAATTGACTCTGCTTTTTTGAGTAAACTGTGTAACTAGAAAATAGTTTCTCGCCCTCTCTCCAGGCACACTTTTTACCTATTGTAATAGTAAAAGTAATTAGAATGTGTTTAAATGCCCTTACCTTCAAAAGGAATTAAAACTGATATTAAAACAGAGAGGTAACAGAAGCTTAAACTTGTGAGCACAAACTATGAGTTTTATTTAATTGCAAGTGATGCATCCTGTGTACACATTTTTCTTCTCTTCCAAGTTCTTTGACTGGCAAATTGCCCTTATGGAGATCAGAAACATTGTAAAATGTGTTTAACAAGTAATTCATTAAATTTTCCTGTCAATTGATACATTCTGTATAGAGCCTTTGGAAGGATGTTTATTTACAATTACTGAGCAGATGGTTCTTTAAAACTTACAGGTAATTACAGGCTCCTTAAACTCACAACATACACATATTTCAACATTTAAATAGAAGTCCATTTTCTTCAAAAGTAGTTTTCTATCACTTTCTTATAAAAATATAAAGAAGACAACATCTATAGTTTCAAAAGCCTATGTTTAACCCAAATCAAGATTTTTCTATAAATGATACCTCTTTCCAAAATGCTCAAGACATCAGATTGTGATATTAAACCAAATAATTTCACTACAGCAGAGTATTTTACTTTTAAGAAATATTATACAATATTTCTTTTTAACCTTTCATGCTAGATTTCAACTGTATGTGCTATGTAAACACAGCAGATTTATCCAAGTCATTCATATTTATGCAGTAGACTGTCATACATGACCAGTTACCACATAAACTGTCATTCCACAATTGCAAAAATGGTAAAAGGCAATCTTTACAAAAGCTTAAAAAAAGGCAACCAACATCTCCCTAATTTTCTGTAAAAATTACCTCTCTCCTATTTTCTTTTCCATTTTGAATGGTACCTTTTTCAGCATATTAACACACAAAGCTATCTACATCGCTTTTACTTGTTAGCCTCTTAAATGACTGCTTTCTTTTCTGTTATACCGAATTTATCGAAAGGCACCATGATTAGATTCCTAAGTAGTTTTAGAATTTTTGTTCCTTTTCAGGTTCCTTTAGAATAATTTTCCTCAGAAAAGTGTACTCTAAAAATCAGAAGAAAACAAACAATGATATTACACAGTAACTTGAAACTTGTGCCATCCAAATAGTATAAATATATTAATAGGTTCCTTGAACTTTTCATTTAGAACAAGAAGTTAAAATAACTTTCTGAACATAAACATAAAAATAGAGCAATTTATCAACAGTAGGAAAAACTCCTAAACTTAGGAGCAACAATGTTAAATCTGACATAATAACACACAGCCAAAAGCATTAGAAATTCACTGCCAGATACTCTGATGCATTATCCTGAAAACATGTCTGATACATAACGCTAACATATTACAAAGTATAGGATTTATTTCCCAGGGAGAAAACATAAGTTTTATCACAAAAAGAGATTTACTAGATTTCAGCTTTAAGTTTTAGAGACAGAGTTTAGAGATAAAAAAGAAAAATAAGATTCATCCTTAAAATAAAAAAGTATATATATATATAATCCATTTTAATACTTTTTATGCTCTTACAACGTAAAGCATTTAGGAACTTTTGAGCTCTAGGAATTTTGGTCAGTTAACCTATTTGGCTTTAACATATCTTAAATTCCCTTTTGAGAATCAGATTAATGTTTTCAGTCTGTCAGTCCAATGTGGATGGAGCAATTCTATTTCTTCTTCTTCTTCTTCGGTGGTTCATCCTCAGAGCTGCTACCTGTGCTAGTGCTGCTGCTACTGGAAGAGCTGGAATCTGAGTCTGAATCAGAGGACGAAGAAGAGCTTGTGGAAGAGGCTGAAGATGACGAACTGGAGGAGCTTTCATCTGTGTCACTGTCTTCTGAGGAGGATGAGGTAGACGTTTCTTCACTCTCTGATGAAGAATCACTGGCTGAACTGTCACTGCTATTGCTACTGGAACTGGTAACACTCTTAGACCTATTAAGACAATCGACAGTTATTTGCATGGGAAGCTGACACTTAATGGAATGCTAATTTCATATGAATATTATGTGTATGTATAAACTAAAGTTCTGCTGGCAGTTATCCCTGGATTTGATGCTTTTGGGATTGCACAAAACTATTTTAACCTCACCCCTTCCCCTACTTAGCAAGGTCTTTAACTTCAGCGATTTCACTCTTGAATGGAGTTCAAGATAAGTGTACCTAAAACATTATGTTCCAGAGCAAATAATATTAGAATAAAGTTGCAGTGTAACAATTGGGTTAATTTAAACCTCATGGACAGTGGCAAATGTTTCATTATCTTAACTACTTCAGACCAAATATAGCTGGTCAATAGTTTCTTACTAGTCTAATAACATTTCCTATTCTAAGACAAGAGGAATTATTTACTATTTCCAGAATAAGGACTTTGGAAAGTTGGAGAAAAAGGAGAAAAGAAGGCAATTAATTCAGGACAGGTAAGGAGAGGAACTATCAGAAAACAGGATGATAGTTAATCATAAATTGCAAACATAAGATTTCAGATCCAAATCTTATAACTCTTATTTTAAAATCACTCTTCCTATCCCTCCAACTGGTGTTAACTATTTATTATCTATATAATACTCCTAAAGCCACACATACCTTTTTTTCTTGGTCTTTCTTTCTACATTAGTTTCTCCAATGCTGATAAACACAAGGGGGAGAAAAAGCTCCTGTTAATAGAGTGATTATACACAACTCAGACAAACACTTATTATCCCCAAAACTTTTTACATTGGAGAAACACTTTGCCTTTCATAATATGTACTCAGAGTCCAGCATTTCTTGTTATAACCAAATGGAAAGTCTCCTATTGTAGGCTGCATGTGGTACATGCAGCTTCCAAAAACTTCCAACTTAACCAGCACGGAAGCAAGCAGATGTTATCTATCAACTGTATCTTAGAAGCCAGGTAAGTTAGTGGTTAAGATGACTGAATGCCCCAATTTGATCCTTTTTTAGTTTTGAACTAAGGTTGACATAGCTACCCTAACTACTTCCTGAACAACAAAACAAAACAAATAATAGCACAATAGTTATAATTTATAATTTGAGTTTCCAGAGTCATATAATAATTGGCCACTGCATATAAAAAACTAAGCAACCTTTGATTTAAAATAATCATTTCTTTTTCTGCATGTCTCTCAGATAGTCATTTACTGTTTAAGAACCAGAGACTTAATATCTTGAGACTGTGTTCCTTCACATTATTTACCAAGAACAAAGTTTTTGGACAAAACATACAAATGTTTGCTGTTATATTTCTGCCAGACTACATGCAGGTTTTCAAATTACGGAATTCTATTACTATAGCAATGTTTCGTAAATTTAACATTTCCATATTCTGGACTTCTTTATATTTCCTAGGACTTCTATCCTTATTTCCTAGATCTTCAATATAAATATACATTTATGTAAAGTTTCACACAATGGAGTTACTTTTTGAATTGTCATTTTGAGGGTAAAATAAGTGGGATAAGTACATTTATTAAACCACACTACAAAAATCCATGATCGTCAAAATTCACACATTTCTTTCATTTTATCCTTAAGCCTGAAAATAGCAATCTTTATGTAACAGAGCTATATCTAAAATTCATATATTCTATGTATTTTCAACATCAAGATGCTTATGCAATACAACTAGAAAAACAAAAGTAAATGTTGGGTAGAAATTATTCCTAACTTTTACTCTTCAGGATAGATATCAAACAATTTTTACTTACATTCCTAATAAAAGAATAAAGAGTTTTGTAAAACTATGTATTTCTCATACTTTTTAATTCTAAGTTTTATTTTATTTATTTATTTATTTATTATTATTTATGCCCACAGCACCTGGTCTTCCTAGGTGGTCTCCCATCCAAGTACTAACCAGGCCTGACCCTGCTTAGCTTCCAAGATCAGACATCGGGCTTGTTCAGGGTGTCATGGCTGTAGACCATGGACCGTGGCTCCACTGGGGCACGAATCCAGGACCTTCTGCGAGTAAAGCAGACGTGCTAACTGCTACACTATGGAACCATGTCTTATTCTAAGTTTTAATATTTACAAAAGGTCTATCTCTGGCTTATTATATATTGATATTTTAAAAAGAAAATTGCTATATCACTTTGATAATTGTATCCAATAGAAAGTAAATGTCACAATAATTTGATACCTATTGTAATTCACTTAAAAAATACACAAACAAGCTTATCTTTAACAGTTGATACTTTTACATTGTCCTTTTTTTCTCTTTGAACTTGTACTTTTATTCTGCTTTCTCCATAGAAAGTATCTTAAATATTTTTATGGCTGAAAATTTTACTTATCATCTATATTTCTTTGCAATAAAAATATAGACATAACTTGAAATTGTATATTTTAATTACCTGTGACCATTTGCTTTAAAAGTATTTAAAATTTCTTAATTGATCAACCATTACCATTATTACTAAAAAATTGATTAAAATGATGTAAAAATATATTATTTGCTAGACAGTGACAAGGTTCAATATCAATTTAATTCCTATACTTAATTTTTATAGATTTAACCCTGACAAGACTTGTTAACTTGAATAGGGAGATGGGAACAGAAAGAGTTTTGCTGTAGCAAAGTGACTCAATTCTTTGATTTCCTCCCATGTTATAGTCTACAAGTAACATAATGATGTGTCACTAAAATAGACTTTTTTTACACTCTAATATTCATGGCGGCACAATTTACAATAACCAAGATATGGAAGCAACCTAAATGCCCATCAACAGATGACTGGATAAAGAAATTATGATTCATATGTATAATGGAATATTACTCAGCCATTAAAAAAATATGAAATCCTACCATTTGCAATGACTTGGATGGATCTATAGGTTATAATGCTGAGTGAAATAAGTCAGACAGAGAAAGATAAATACCATATGATTTCACTTACATGTGGTATCTAAGGAACAAAAAGAACAAACTAATCAAAAACAGACTCACAAATATAGTGGACAATTTGGTAATGGACAGAGGGGAGGAGGGTTGGGAGGCTAGTAGAATGGGGTAAAGGGTCAAAGAAGAACAAATTAGTAGTTGATAGTTGGGTATGGGGAGCATGGCAGAGAGAATGCAGTTAGTATTATTATGTAAGTTAAGTGGAGGGCCAGGAGCGGGAGGGAACAATTGGGGGGATCGTTTTATGAACATTATAGATGTCTAACCAATATACTATATACTTGAAACTAATTTAAATAAATTTATTTAAAATATATATAGTTTTTTTTTAAATTAATTTTTTATGGTGATATTGGTTAACGAAATCCAGTAGGTTTCAGCTGTACATAAAATATACTTTTAAATTGATAACTCAATTAGGTCCTCCTTCAATCTTGCTGGGAAAAAAAATTTGCAAAATAACTTCCTTCCAATAATTAGGGCCATTCACTTTATCAGTACAAATATCAGTATTTTGAAAAATCTCTGGCTTTTTATACATGAGGACAATACAAGGTAAGATTAGATAGGTGAGAGGTGTGTCTTTAGTGAAATTAAAGAAGGGTTGTTTAGGAAACAGGATGTGAAAATAGAGAACCAGGAAGCACCTTCTCATACAGATTTATTTTTGGAAAAAGTGCATATTAATGTTGATGACTTAAAAACTGATTACTTATCTATTCCTGCGTAACCTTTAAAGAGACTTGAGGTCTACAAAGTGGAAGACTGCTGCCATGAAAGTCCAGATGTTTAAGATACTATTAGAGAGCACACAGTCCTGAAGACGCTGTGTGAATGCTAACATGAAGCATTAAGTTGACCTGGCACCTTCCTATTTAAGTCTCTCTGAAACATGTATACTTACTTATTTCACAGGAATTTAAAAGCTTTATTCAAAGGACACAAAAGGGTAAATAACAATTTTCCAGTTTCCTTCCTATCTAGCTCTCCTTCTAGAAAGGAACTATTATTATTGATCATTTATATTTTCCAAAAACTTCCATTATTCTTTTTTTCTTTTTTTCTTTTTTTTAACATAAATGATAGCATATTTTACATATTGTTCTCTACCTGGTCTCTGTACTTAATATAAGTATCTTGGACATTTCTCCTAGATATCTTTTCATATCAGCTCACATAATCTACCTCACAGTATTCTGTGGTCATGTCATTGGCAACTGAGGCAATAAAGCAAAATGATTAAGAGTATGGCTTCTGAAGAAAGCTAACTGGTTTCACTTAACTTTTCTACTTACTAGCTGTATGACACTGAGCCAGTTATTGAACCCCTCCGCGCCTCAGTTTCTTTATATGTAAAATGGGGGTTAATAATAGTTTACCTTTATGGTATAGATATGACACTTAAATAAGCTAATACTTCTAAAGAGCTTAGTACAGTGCCTGGCATATACTAAGTTCTCATTAAACATTAGCTAGAATTATAATCTAAATCTGGATAACCACCATGAAACATTCAGGCCCTTAATAAATCCCATAAATATAAACAAAAATATTTCTTTGGGTACCCCATATAAACTTACCTTTGTTGTAATAATAATCTGTTTTCTTTTTCTTTTAAAGCTTTCTTTAGTTCTGCTGTTCTCGAAGGCCTATGTAGGTATTTTCTTTTTCCAGTGCATTCATAAGTCCAATGTCCAAATTCCAAGCATTTCTGACACCTTACATGTTGCTTATTTGCTTCACTAAAGAGCAAAAATTAGAATACAGGCCTTAAATTTTTCGCTTGACATTTTCTGCCATGAAAGACATAAACAATATAAAGTGAAAAAGATGTTTAAGGCCTACCTAAAAAATAAACATAATTTAATCTATTTATGTTAGATTTAATCACAAAGCAGTATAGTGAGTGGTTAGATTTAATCTATTTATGTTAGATTTAATCACAAAGCAGTATAGTGAGTGGTTAAGAGCATGGACCTTGTTTGAGTTCAAACCTTCATCCTCAATTCTATTCCAGTAATGGCCAACTATGTAACTCAGACCAACTCTTTAGCTCAGAACTAGAAAGACAGTCACAACATTCTAAACGACCTGTTGAGTTAAGTCGACTCTTGCAGTGGGGTATTTGCCTAACTCAACAGGATCAGCATCACTTACAATAAGCTAGGAAGACAAATTTGTTTCCAGAGTTAGGACTCTGAGGGGCTACACCCTAAGAATAAACCAACCATTTATTGAGTGCAGCCCGGCTATTAGTCATCTAGGAGGCTAAGAAAACTCACAATCCCTAAAATTAGGTTAAGATGCAGCAAGCAAAGAAAAACAGATAAAAGAATTGGAAAGCAATAAAACTGTCATTCCTCATTGATGATGTATTATGTACACAGCAAATCCAAAAGAATCTACAGATAACATTTTAAAAATAATTAGTATTCATAAGTGAATTCAGCAAGGTTTTAGATTGGGGTCAGCAAACTGTCTGTAAAGGATCAGATAGTAAATATTTTAGGCTTTGCAGACCAAGAGGCAAAATTAAGGATATTATGTAGACACTTCTATAATAAGAGAACAAATTTCCACAAATATTTTATTAAGAAAAATATTTCACATAAAAGAGGTTTACTAATGAGAAGAATGAAATTCTTTTCTGGAGGATAACATTTCACTCAATTGAGGTTCAAAGTTGGTGTTCCCTGTCATCAAATTGATCATCTATATACATATGTAAATAACAATCTCTGCTTACAAGCCTACAAGAACAGGTAGCAGGCAGGATTCAGTTTGCCAAACTCTGTGTTAGATAAAAGGTCAACATGTAAAAATCGATTGTTTCTACAAAACAAAAACAGTTAATGAAATTTTAAAAGGTGATATTTATAATAGCCTGAAAAATACCAAAAACCTAAAAATAAATTGAAGAAAATATGTGCAAGACTTTTATGCAGAAAACAAACATTACTGAGAGGAATTAGACATCCAAAGAAGTGAATAATAGAGGGATATACCATGTTCATAGACTGGAAGACTCAATGTTGTAAAAATATCCATACTTCCCAAACTGATCTATAGATTCAAAGTGATGCCAATAAAAATCTCGACAGGTTTTTGTTTGTTTGTTTGTTTTGGAACTTATCAAACTTATCCTAAAATGGAAATTCAAAAGGTCAAGAATAGCCAAAATACCCTTGTAAAGGAACAAATAAGGAAGACTTAGATTAAAAGACACTGACTTATGATAAAGCTATAATATTAATAATATGAGATTGGAGCAAAGATGTACAAATAAGCCAACAGAACAAAATAGAATGTCCAGAAGTAGACTAATGTACATATGAACACTTAATTTATGACAACCATGACATCAGAGAGCAGTGGTGGAAAGGACAGATTATGAATAGTATAGGAATAACTAGTTATGCATATGGAAAAGGCTTAACCTCTACTTTTCCCTATATGCACACATAAATCACAGACCTGGCCAAACAATAAAGGTTTTAAAAGATAGTATCTTAAAAAGTGACACATTTGAGTTAAGAATTCTTAAAAAACAAATCACAACACTAATCATAAAGAGAAAGATTGATAAATTATACTAAAATTTAAAATTAAGAATCTCATCAAAATGTACAATGAAGAGAGTAAAAAGAGAAGCCCAAAAAATGGGAGAAGATTCTTGCAACATATATTACCATCTCCAGAGTACACAAAGAACTCTTACAAATCAATAAGAAAATGACAGATAACAGAAAAATAAGATGAAGTGGAAAATGGAAAGACAGTACAAAAATGGGATTGGAAAATACAAATTATCAACAAACATGAACAGGTGCTCATTACTAATGAAAGAAAAGCAAATTAAAACTCCAATGAGATAGCACTAGACACCCCAAAGAAAGACTAAAATTAAAAACTGGCAATCGCCAATGTTAGCAAGGATACGTAGCAAGAGTAACACTCATGGTTAGTCCCAGTGTAAACTGGTACAACCATTCTGAAAAAAAATTTACCATAGTTGAAGAGATGCATACTCTATGGTCCAGCAATTCCACCTGTAGGTATTTATGCAGTAGACATCCATGTGCAACTATACCAGATAACATGTGTAAGAACACTGCTTTCCTTTAGGGCATTTTAAAAATATATGAAACAATCACAACCTTACAGAAAAGTTTTGATTTTAAAGAACTATTTTTCCTGAAACATTTGTAAATTGACAACCTAATGCCTCATCAATCCAGAATATTTCACTGCATATTTCTATGAACTAGTACATTCTCTTACCAGACTTTGCATTGTAAAGTTACTTGTCCATTTAAAACTTTTGGTGGTTTAAAATTACGTCCACAAATTATTTGATGCTCTTCACTTCAAGAGGTGGAGCCTAATTCTCCTCTCCTTGAATGTGTGGCTCAGACTTAGTGACTTGCTTCTAACTAATGGAATAAAGCAGAGTGATGAAGTGTGACTTCGAAGATCAGGTTAAGTAGCTGCCATGTCATGAAGATGCTCAATCAGCCTCTAGGAAGGCCTACATGAGGAGGAACTGAAGCTTCCTGCCAGCAGCCCTGTGAATCAGCCATCCTGAAAGCAGACTGTCTGGTCCTGGTCAAGCCTTGAGATGACTGCATACCCTGCAACATCCTGACCACACCACACAGAAGAGGCTGAGTCAGACTCACTCAGCTAAGTGGCTCCTGAATTCCTGACCCACAGAAACTTTGAGATAATGTTTACTGTCAGAAGTCACTAAATTCTGGGGTACTCTGTTACATAACTGTAATTGAAAAGTAGTATAGTAATTCATAAATATATTTTGTTGGTTGGTACTTGACAACCCATAAATATCCTGCTCATTAAATTTTTAGATCCTTTATGTATCTATCACTATAAACTCATATTTTTTCTCTTTTATTCAATGAGTTATAATCAATTACCACAACTTTTTTGATGCTCAGATTGTCCTAGACTTGGTCAGTATGAAATCCCTTCAAGTGGATTCTGTGTTGTTTTGACATGGCTCCATCATTCTTTGAGCATAACCTTGCTTTCTGGTACAACAAAAAATTCCAGGTTCATCTTACACTTTCCCTGCCCTGCTCTGAAATCAGCCTGAGGTAGCCCTGATAATATTAAAAGTTAAGATTGGGGCACATGGGTGCTCACTGTTATTGGGACATTGCTGCTCCCACATATGCTCAGTGGACAGAGGTAGGGAACACACACACATTTATATCTATAGTTACATATTTTGAAAACCATGAAATCATACCGATACCTTTAATTCCAATCCAAACCCTTCACAGGGTTTACTCCATTCTTTCCTTCCCCAGTGAGAAATCTAGATCCCATGATCCTAAATAGATTTACTCATTTTGTCACTTCTTTTCATATGAGCAATTGCCTATTGCTGCCACTGCTGCCCCCTCCTCCATACAGGTGTTCTCTTTACTCCACTTGGGATCTGATACTCTGCCCTTCATTGTCCTCCCCCACCCCCATGTGGACATGCTTCTCACTCTGCTTGGGCTGACTCCCATTGCCAGGCCAGGTCCCCACATGTGTACACATTTCTCTTTCTGCTTAGGCTCTTACACCCCCACTTAATTCACCACTCCTCACCTACTTTTATATTCTCCCCACTCAGGTGACAAACTTGTGCTGAATTGCCTCAATGTATGGACACTGCCCTCTTTCTGCTTGGGATCTGATACCTTGCACTGGACTGTTCCCCCACTGGATGTCCTCCACACCCTGCTGACACTGCAGGCCAGTTCATGCTCCTCGTGGATGCCGCCCAACTTACCCCACTTTAGTGCTGACATTCCAATGCCAGGTCGATCCCCTGTATGGATGCCTGCCCTGCTCTGCACCACCTAAGGGCTTCAGGACCGACTTGCTCAAGAAGGGAAGAGGAAGAGGAAGAACTAAAAGAATATTCTTAACAGCATGCTTTGTAACATCCTCGAAATTGGAAATAACGTTAAAGTAGAGTAATTAATTTGTGGTATACAGAGACTAGTACTCCTATGAGAATCTAATGCCTGATGATCTGAGGTGGAGCTGAGGCGATGATGCTAGTGCTGGAGATTGCAGATACAGATGAAGCTTCGCTCGCTCACCTACTGCTCACTTCCTGCTGTGCGGCCTGGTTCCTACCAATCTGCAGCCCAGGGGTTGGGGAACCCTGGTATAGAATACAGTGGAATACTTCATAGTAATAAAAATGGACAAATTACAGCTTAATTTAATTTAGATGGATCTTAGATATAAACCAGGCTCAAAAGAATTCAAATTGTCTAATTTTGTATAAAGTTCAAAGATAGGTATAATTAAACTCTAATGCATTAAAATTAAAGTATAGTTAGATGGTAAATGTACAAAGAGAAGCAAGGAAGTAATTACTATAAATGTTAGGAGAGTGGTTATTAGCAAGGAGAGAGGAGGTTGTGATTGGGAAAGGGCCTTAGGGGCTTCTGGTATATTGAAATTGTTCTACATCTTGATTTTGGTGATGGTTATATGACTATATATATTTTTCAGAACTCATAGAACTGTACATTAAAAAGGATGAATTTTCCTCTATGTAAATTAAACCTCAACAACCCCAACTTTTGAAAAATGTCCATACCATCTGATCCAGAAATAATAAGATATATGTAAAAATTCAGTTTCATACATATTTATTACAGGAAGTATGATATGGTTTATAAGCATAAACCTAACTATCCAACAACAAAAGAAATGGCCAAAAAGTTATTGTACATCCATAAAGAACACTATGAGGCCATTTAAAATATTTAAAATGGCCTGAAAGGTTATACACTAAAATGTAAACAATGACTGTATTTGGGGTAGGATTATAATACTTTTTCCCTTATCTATATTTTCTAACTTTTCTATAATGAACATGGATTGTGTGTAAAATCATAAAACAGATATTAAAAGATACTTTTAAAGGAACATATAACTAAGGGATACAGAAGAATTGTAAAGGCGTATAAGAGAAAAAACTGAAAGCCTCCTGCCCAAATGAACTGAGACCAGTGAAAGATATCAAGAACATTGAAAATTGTTTATGTTTCAGTTATACTTAAACCACGAAGAATCAAAAAAAAGAAATAGGTTCACTATTTGGGGTAATAGGCAAATAGGCCACCAATACCACGTTATGGGCAAAGTGGACAAGCAGAATTATTTTTATTTTGCTTCGGTCTTAACTCAAACACAATGATAAGCAGAATGAAAAAAGTAAAAATTGAAGCTCAAGATTCTTGAGGAGTGGGTAACAGTGCCCTTATCCATTCTGAATGTGTTTAAGTCACATGGCCCACGTGATTGCTCCTGGACATACCAGAGATTTTCCAGGTGAGACTGTGGTACTGCTGCTGGTAATCTGAGGAACTCTGTCTGGCAAACAGGAGTGATGCTGAAAGACTGAAAGTAGACAAATGCTGTTTTGATTTTCGAAGTGGGGAGGAGGGTAGATTTCACAAACTAGACCAATGAACTTGATATTCATTGCAGGCAAAATTCTGGCTGGATTTATTAAATCCATTCAGGAAAAAAAAAAAAAAAAAAAAAGCCAGGATTGCTAGATATCAAATCTTATTGCCTTTTGGGTATTTATATTTCAATAAGGCATCTTGGAAAGTCTCACAATATTCTTGTGAACAAAACAGAACAATCAGTTGATCAGTTGACTATGAGTACTGTTTAATGGGTTGGAATAAATTATATAGAGACAGGTATCCAGTGATGGCCTGCAGGGTTTGGTCCTCAGTTTGGTCTTGTTCAACATTTTTATAAATGACTTGGATGAAGACACAGATGTGCATATTTATCAAACTTGCAGTTGACACAAAGCTGAGAGGGATAGTTAATACAAGGGGTTGACCGAATCAGGATCCAATAGGTCTTGACAGGCTGGAACTGTGTTGACTCTAACAAGATGAAATTTAACAAGGGTAAAAGTAAGTTTGACACTTAAGTCCAGAAAATCGATACAGGGGAAGCTTGACTTGATGGCAATTCAAATGGAAAACACTTAGGGGTTTTAACTGATTGAAACCACAGTTTAGGTCAAAAGCTGAGATGTTAGAAGGGAACAGGGTTTTTAGCTTGGTAAATATCATTTTTTCTTTTTAGCTTAATATAAACTTTTTGAGAGATTTGAAAAATGTAACAGGCTACTTTAAGAGGGTGAATACATCCTACTGGAGGTGTTCAATCCAAAGTTAGATGACTACCTTGGATGCTGAAGAGATAGTAGGGGAATCCAGGGAAAGGGTTATTGAAGAAATTATTCCAATAATGCCAAGATTCTACAATCTACTTAAATATGAAGATGAGTACATGTAATTACAATTTACAAAGTGAAAATAATCTCATTTCAATTGATTTAAAGTTAAGTCCCTGAGAGATCTGCTACATGGGGAGTTCAGATTTAGGCTCTTTTTTTTCTTTTATATTCTTCCCATTCTCTATTATTCCAAAGACTTTTTAAAAGAAAGACAACAATACTTTCTTGCTTCTCATGACTAACTTAAAAACAATTTAAAACTTGTTATTATGGAAACAATATTTACTCTTTATAAATGAAATTAAACCTCTTTGATGACTACAAAATTAAAAGCAAAGGCTCCTTTTCTGCTCCCCACCCCCCAAATATTCCCCAAACTCTCCAGGACACCCCTAGCCTCTGAAGGCCCTCTTTCTCTGACTCCTTGGTGACTTACAGTCTGTATATCATGATAGCTTTTATTATAAACTATATGTGTTCTTCCCAACAAGACAAGAAGCTCCTCAAAGGAAAATTTGTCTTTTGCTTCTGTGTAGCTCATGTACCAAATACAGTCATACTGTAGAAAACAGAACATTTGTTTAACACTCTGATACTTCTGAAATAAGAAACAGCAATATTCTTTAGGTGTTAAAAGTCTTACTTTCACTTCATATTTAAAGTGGACATTGGCTGATTTTGCCAATCTATCATTCATTACCTCCTCTCACCTACCCCACCCAGCTCATTATTGGTTAATAGAGACCCATTAGATTGCACTGGGAGAAGAATGAGATCTAAGTCAATCAGAGCTTCACAATCGCGTAGACACGGTTCAGGGTTGGGCATGTAATCCAATCTACACCAGTGAGATGACATTAACTTGAAGCTGAGAGGATATAAAGGGCCCTAGGTACTACAGTCATCTAGGGACCAAAGGAGAGAATGTTCCATACTATCCAAGTACGGAACCAAAGCAAAAGAACAAACCTGAGAGTTAGCATGCCTATTAAGTATTATGATCATTCCATTCTTGATCTCAGAACTGTCTGACTTGAAAGCCTTCTTCCTCCACCAAGCATACTAGGTACCCTGACTCCCTTAATCTTTACTCTTATTCTCAAGAAACTCTTCTCATCCTGCATGAGACTGAGTGTGATGGAGGGCAGAGAATGAACAGGGCTCTTAGAATAAAAAATACAAATAAAAGATAAATATAAATATATATGCTAGCAGAATGCGAGTGATATAGATGTGCAAATGCTGACAGCATGAAATGCTGAGAGAATGAAAAAGTGGCAGACATTCACATGTGTAGGTTTGTAGAAGAAAAAAGGCTTTACAAGGGGAATGTGAGATGACTCCTGCATTATCTGTCCATGGCAAACATCTCGTGCCACTCTCACTCATTCACCACAATGGCCATTTTTCAGTTCTTAAAAACTAAGTTCTTTCCTGTCTCAAAGCAATTATGCTATTGTCTGGATGCTCAAATCCTCTTATGACTGGCTCCTTTCTCACACTTTCAATCTCTGTTCAACTGTCACCTCTTCAGAAATACCTTTCCAGTTCAACCAACCTAATCAGGGCCCTACTCTCTTTCCATCACCTATTTCCTTCAAAATTCATCTCACCGTCTACAGCCATGCCACCCTGAACACTCCCGATTTCGTCTGATCTCGGAAGCTAAGCAGGGTTGGGCCCAGTTAGTACCTGGATGGAAGACCACCAAGGAAGACCGGGGCTTGTAGGCGTATAAAAAAAAATTCTTATCACCGACTTCATTTACTTAAAATGTTTAATTTATCGACTCTTCCCACCGCTAGAATGTAAGCTCTCTGAAAGCACAGCTTGTCTTGAACACCTCTTTTTCTCTATACCCCAAATCTGGCACATATTGGTAGATAATGAATAAATTAATATTTGTTCAAGAAAATGAATGGCAGAAAGTAAGACAATAACTTGGGAGAAAGTTGGTGTCGTAGTCAGGCTGTTCCTAGGGAAGGCGATAGGAAAGAGACAGGAAAAGCCAGCTCGGCTACAGGCTGCATACATCGGCGAGAGTAGGGGGTCCGGATCAGGACTCCATGCTCCCCCCGGCCACGAATGTGGTGGGCAGCTGGGTGGGGCAAAGGGGCAAAAACCAGCTAGTGACCAATTCCTGTGCGAACCCTTCTCGGAAACAAAACTCGAGGCTCTTTTCAGAACTCCTCTAGGTCCCGCCCCTTGGACCTTATGCAGCTGTCTTCCACGAAATCGCTGGCCGATAGGCACCAAACTTATTGCCCGGCCGGAGCCCGGAGCAGGCAACGCGTGAAAAAAACGGCCACCCTCTGCCGGTTCCCACTGAGGATCCGACACCGGCCCCATAGCTCGACGCCCGCTCACCCTTCGGCTGACGCGCGTCTCCCCGCCCCCCGACTGGGGCCCTCACTTACGCTTGTCTCCGGGCTATGAGCCGATGCATGGGAGTCGCCATCTTAACGCAGCTGAGGTTTGCCGCGCTGGGTTTTGGGAAACTCCTCGGAGGGGGCGGGGAGTTGGAACCAGAAGCTGACGCAGGCGTGGGCGGGGCTAGTTCTGCCTCTCCGGTTTCCCGGGCTACTTCTGGGGGAGACCGTGAAGTGTGTCAGGTGCGTGCCAGTGGAGTGAGGCCGTGTGGCCTAAACAGGGTTTTGAAGGATCAGTACTTGTACAGTTGACCCTTGAGCAACACGGGTTTGAACTGTGCGGGTCCACTCATCCTACAGTTTTTTTCCCAGTACAGTTGGCCTTTCTTATCCACGGGCATCCAGCGGCTTCGCATTTGTGGATTCAACCAACCGCGGATCGAAAATACTGATTTTGATCTGCGGTTGGTTAAATCTGTGGATGTGAAACTCTAACTATAGAGTCAAAAGTTACACGTGAAATGAAAAAAGTTATACGTGGATTATCGACTGTGGGGGGTCTGGGCCCCCTAACCACATCTTCAGGGGTCAACTGTATGCTACATAGGCAGGAAAGAACATTCTCTACAAGGGAAATATATATATGTGTGTGTATATATATATATGTGTGTGTATATATATAACTTAATTATATAGGTATAGTTATGGTTTTATATATGTATAGTTTTATATACATAAGTATAGTTATGTTATATATGTTTAAGATATATACATACAGACACACACAGAATAAAACTGCAGTGTTCAGACATCTAGAATTCGTCTGGAAAACAAAATGAAAAGGAGTGAGTTAAACAGGATTGGGATCATCAGTTGAAAGACTGTCTTTAGCAAACCATAAAATAAAAATATGTGTAATTACTTATACTTTTATGCATTTTATAGGGCTGTAGGACCAAATGATACTATATAAGCTGCTTTGTCAAAAGGAAGGATTACACAAATATTAATTATTTTAGGATATCTTAGCATTTAGTGTCGGATCAGGGAGATTTTGTTACTTTAAATCTGCATTCTTAGGTTTTGAAATGTATATGTATGTTTCTGGGTCCCTGTTCATTTTTTAACATATAAAATGTATTAGGAACTGAGGATAAAGCTTTGAACAAATACAGTCCTTGTATACTTGGAATTTTCTGCAGACAATAAACAAAGGCAATATCCAATGAGCATAAATACTCTAAAAAATAATTGAGTGTAAGGGGGTGAAAAGTGATTTAGCATTGAGAGATGGAGGTGAGTCATGTGACCTTTGAGTACATCTTGTTCTTAAAAAAATATGGAAGCTTACGATCTGTTCTGCTCTTAAGCTTGCTTGTTCATTCCTCAATGTACTGCAGACATCTTTTTCCACATTAGTATATACGGATCTGTGGGGTTAATTCAGAACATAGCCCCTCCACATACTCAGAAGACAGATGGCTGCTTGGTCAGCAGCCCTAAGGAAGACAGTAAACAAAGGGCTCCCAGCAGGCCTGGAGCACCAAGTACTTTTTCTGCTGCTCCCACGGACAGTATCTGCTCCTGTAACCAGCTCCTGTACTCTAGCAGCACAGGCGGCTGCTCCCCCAGTGAGATAACCCCTCCCTCTGCCTGTGTGTATAAAACGTTGCTAGCTCTCTGCCAGCAGCAGCTTTTTCTGCAGCTCCGGTCAGCCGCCATCTATCTGAGTTCCCCTGATTCGTGAGTAATAAATGGCATGCCTTTCGTCCTTCTGGTGGTTTTTTCGGAAATCCAAAACCCAGGTGCAAGTTCCTGGCCTGGAGCTCCTGCGTTACAAGATCTAATTCATTCTTTTGATGTATTACATATATGAAATACATGGTTATTCCATAATTTATCCAACCAGTACCCTATTGTTGTACAATTAGATCATTTACCACAAAGATGAGATGAATAGATGTTTAAGCACTCACCCATGTTTCTTTAAGATGACTTCCTAGAAGTGAAGTTGCTGGATCAAAGGATATGTGCATTTTTAATTTTGATAGATATAGCCTAATGCCCTTTAGGTTGGTTGTACCCCAAACTGCTTCCTCACCAGGCTTGAGAATAGTCAAATTTTAACTTTTGTCTATCTAATAAGCCAATATGATATATTATTGCTGAGGTTAAGTGCTTTCGTATGATCATGGAAGACTTTCATGAATTCTCTTTTCAAATCTCTGCCTATTTTTTCTATTGGATTTTTATCGTTTTAATATTGACTTGTAAAATCTTTTAATTTTTTTTAACATATGAACCCTGTTTTATACTTTACAGATATTTTTCCTATTCTGTCTGTTGTCTTTTAACTTTATGATCATTTACCTTACACAGAGGTATTAATTGTTATATAGGCATTTTAAGCAATCTTTTTCTTTATGGATTTCTAGATTTGGCTAATACTTAGAATGGCCTATGTCTCAAGATTATTAAAACAGTTTCTTGTATTTCATTGTAATTCTTTAATTACAACTATGCAACTGTGGTTATAGTCTTAATCCTAATTTTTCATTTTTGAAACACCATTTACTAACCTATCACTTTTTTTTTATTGATTTGCAATGCCACTCTCTAATATACTATATATGCACAAATTTAGTTTGTTTGGACATTCTACTTTCTCCCAAAGATCTATTTGTACCAGTATTTGTGTCATTATTTAAATTTCTGTGGTTTTATAGGCTATTTTGATATCTGACGGCCCAAGTCTCTCCTAATTAGCTCTTTTCCCTCAATCGTTTTTATTGCTCCTAGGCATTTACTTTCCTAGATGAGCTTTATTCTCAAGTTTTCAAGTTTTCCACAAAACAATATTAAGATTTATTTGTCATTTAAGTTTTAAAGAAACTGCATTATAGCAGATGTGAAAAGGCGAAACAGAATGAGATACAACAAATCAAAAGGAGGAAGCAAATGACATTATTTGTGATGATTTGGTTGCACACCTAGAAAGCCTACAAGAATTAATCAGAAGCGTCTAGAGCGTTCCACACAGGGTCCACACACATGATGTTACTGTTTCCCAGTGAAGCCCATGGGCTTAAAGGACCCTCAGGTTTGTCTAGAGGCCCGGGCTAAAATTCAGATACGAAATTTTATAAATCTTAATGGGTAGAAGCTGAAAAAATGAAAAACCCTTGTGAAAGCTGCAAGTAATTTCTATCTGGCAAGAATGAACACTTCACTGGTCGTTAAGTGAACTATTCTTTTATTCTACGAAAATCTTCCCCAAGTGTCTTCCAGTTTTGTATGATGTCTCAAAGAACTCAGGGAAGAATGGATGAAAAAGGCATGTGTTACAGGGAGAGTTGCATCTCTCCAGATTGGGCTGCTTTTGGTTAGGATGGTTGTTTCCTGCCCCGACCATGACCTGTTTGTGAGCACCTGTGGTTAGAGAGCTGCATGCAGAACAGGGCCCACTTTGTGGGCAGGCAAACTATGCAATATGCAGAGCCCCCTGCTTAGAAAACTCCCAGACTAGCTTACTGTTCTGCTATTGCTCTGCTGAAATTCTTAATAACTTTTGAATAGGAACTCCTGCATTTTAATTTCGCACCTGGCTCAGTAAATTATGTAGCTGATCCTGCACCAAAGTCGGTGAAAATATTTTCACAAGGCACTGTAAAACTGAGCTCAATAAAAACTAGCTCCACCAGGACCAGAAAACGAGAGAGGAATGATCTTCCCATTTTTCCTGGAATTCAGAATTAGTCTTTTTTCTGAAGATTAGTAGCTATGGTTAATCTTTTTTTTTTTTTTTTTACCTTGGTGCAAAATTGAACATGGGTTCTTCCTTCATATGCCTTTGCATACAAGGAAAAAAATAGTTCTTCCAGCAGGGTAAGAAAATTTGACTAACAGCTACATAAAGAAGAGGTTCAAGCAGGGCAACCACTTATTTTGTGAAGAGGGAACTGGGAGAAGGGCATTTGGGCCTCTGAGGTATATCTGGTTCTCTACTGAAAAAAGGGTGGCTCTTCCATCCACTTCTGGCTGTGGGGGTGACAGCTGCCTTCATCAATTATTGCCATTTTCCAAGAGAGCTTGAAAATTACACATTTGAAAGCTATGTCACATCCTCTTATCTTCAGACACAGCTGCTTGAGCTCCTTAGAGTCCTTGGTCTTTGATGAAATACTTTGCTGTGACATAGCTGTGAGTCCAGGATTTGCTGGCTCCCTTTCTGGTAATTCAAATTTATCTATAGTAGGAGAGAAGGAAGTTGATATGCTGAGAGAAGCAGAGATGAGATACAGAGAAAAAAACATACCCAGACCTGATTGTTTTCTGTTTTGATTCTTTGGGTTATCATAGCTTCCCTTCAGTAAATCTCATATGTGATCAAGATGGTTCAGATTGGTGTTCTGATTTTTGCTCCCAAAGAGTTCTTGGAAGTAGACTTTATTCCCATTTTATAAGTGAAAGAGCTAAGACTCAGGCCCTGGATATTGGAGTCAAATTTACCCAGTTCTCTAAGTGCACTGAAGCCCCAACTACGAGTCTCTCAGATGTCTTTGTTAAATATTTTATTCAAGGTGCACATCCCTGAGCTTTTTCCATTATTCACCTCTCCCCCCACATCCAGCCAGTTTTGTTTATTTTGAAATAACATAGGACCGCTTCCCTTTTATCATTTAGGATTCAATTGCAAGAAATAAAAAACAATTATTTAGCTAAATTAACAAAAAGAATTTATTGGCAGTTTATTAGATAACTCATAGTCTAGAACAAGGGTCCTCAACACCTGGGTCATGAACAGATACCAGTCTGTGGCCTGTTAGGAACCAGGCCGCACAGCAGGAGGTGAGCTATGGCTGAGCCGGCATAAGTTCATCTGTATTTGCAGCAGCTTGCCAGCGCTAGCATCACCGCCTCAGCTCCAATTTAGATCATCAGGCATTAGATTCTGATAGGAGCACCAGTTCCTGGTGCCCAAGAGGTTGGGGACTGCTGGTCTTGAAGGAGGAATTGCACACCCAGTCTTGAGTAGGTTTTGAACCAGAAAAGTCCAGATCTTAGTACTGAGAGGTTGTGTTCTATAGCTGCTATCAGCAGTTTGCTTGGCTACTTACAGACATGTGCTCATCCTTCTACTCATGGGGAAAGTGACACCTTTTTAGGTGCTAATGACTTGGGATCCACAATTAGCAGCCCACCAGAATGAGGAGGATTCGAAAAATACCTCAAGGAATGAATGATGAGCAGTAGAAACAAAGGAAGTACATTCTGTTCTATAGCAGATTCGTTCTGCAAAATCTTTCCATGTAAATTTATCTAGTCTAGGTATAGTGGGAAAAATAACACACTGGTTTGCAAAGGCCTACAAGTGGCCAAATAGAAATGCCATATAGCAAACGCAAAGGACACCAGTTGAAATGAAAATGTCTATCTTAGCTCTCTTTCTCTCTCCCTTTCCTGGTGAGGATGATAAACTTCTGTGTTCTAGATCCAAACATTTTAATTGACAGGTCAAATATATGATGATTGTTTTATTAAAATTCATGTGAAATTCAGAATGAGGCTCTCACCTTTCTTCCAGACATATGCCCCTATTCATCAGATTTCTCTGGCTGCCACCGACTCCACTGGGCCTTCCCTGTAAAGTAAGTATTGAGGCTAAAATGACTTTATTCCAACTTGAGCTTAATGGTCTTGACTCCTCCCACCCCCGTTTTAAACACAAGTAATTCATTTTTATTATGGAAAACTTTCCTTATGAAAAATAGAGATCAAGACAAAAGTGATGCGTATTATGTCTTCCTACCTACAGAGATTTTTGAGCTTCTCTTTTGGGAAATGTAGATATTTTCTATATCCATAACTGAATCCTAACTAATTATAACACATTTTAAAATATCACGGACAACATCAGATCTTTAAATTTGAATTTGAATTTTGTGCGTTAACAGTATGTATTGCGAAATGATCACCACAATAAGTCTGGTCAATATCAATATGAAGGGCTTTTTATCATTAATAAATCCTGAAAGTGCATTTTAATACCCAGCATTTTTACATGAAAATACTTACTGCACTTGCAAAGTGAGTTCTAAGTGTGGTGAGTTTATTAGCCAGAGCTATTCAATTTGCAAGTGACAGACACTGAAATCAAAGTAAACCTTGTAAAAACAGAGTTTTAAGAAATGGATACCAGTAGATGCCAGAGCAGGGCAGCTTTAGGCACCTGGGCCCAGACACAGGGATGTGATGTCTTTTGCCAAGACAAGCTAGTCTCTACTTTCTGTGTAGCAGCCTAATTCCCTCAGACCTCTCTCTGTGGTTGGCCAGGTGGAACCTTACAACACATCCTTAAAATTCACAGCATGTCAAAGACAAAAGCCAAACAAATAAGCAAACTGGATATTGCAACAGGGAGAGCACCCCAGACCGGAAGACCATAGTGTGTCAGCAGGATGGTTTTATGTGGAGACATTTGCAGGGAGCAGTAGACAACTTCTAGGTGGGGTGATTTTACATTTGTAATTGTTTTTGTAATCAGGGGGTCTCGGTCAGCTCAACAGGAAACATTTGTGTCTAGCTAGTTTCACGGGGAAAAATAGTTCAGATAATCATTTATAAGACAATGCATGGGAATTTGGAGAGTCTGTGTCTGGCCTTGTCATAGGTAAACAAGGGAGTCATCTGTGAGTCTTATCTAAGTTGCATGAAGAAGAGTGGTTCTTTGTAGTAAGCTGAAACGTGAAAGGGTAAGGGGAATTTCTTAACCATCTCAGTTTCCTAAGAACACAGGCCTTAGATAAAGTTGAACATTGTCAAGACAAAGAAGAAAGGAAGTTCCCCACCAGCTGCAAGAGACACATCTCTGCGAAGAGCACCCCGTGCTTGGTCACATGCTCATCTAGGTCAGTCTTCATGGCCCAGTGTGGGGGGGTCGGGAGGTACTGTGAACGACTCAGCCTGGGTTATGCCCACTTCTACTGTCAGGGTGGTGAAGAGAAGGATTATAAAGCAGTTAAAGAAAATAGCTCCACAGCAAACTGTCACCATTTAATTCCAGTGGCACTAAATTTGAGAACTTTTCCTTAAAGCAGAAGACATAAACCTTTGTTCAAAGTTAAACAGTGGCAACGTGATAATGATACTGGTAAATGACCATGAATCCTTTCCTAGACCTTTAAACAGTCCAAGGAGTCTCACACGATACTCCACGTTTCCTTCCCCAGAAGAATTGCCCCTCCCTCTTTCCAATCTTAGTGCTATAAAATCAAACTGGCAAATGTTAAAGATACTTTAGTAGTATTCCAAATTACTCATTCTTTTTTTTACCATTTTTTCCCATTCTTCCTCAAGACCATCTTTGGCTTAATGTGGCCTAGAAATCACAGAAATCCCCGCTCCCACCACCTAAGAGTTTTAAGGCCTCAGGTATATGAATCAACATGGTGAGAAAACAGCCCCTTTCTAACCGGATTTTGGGGAAATTTGATTCTTTGGACCAGTTGTTACCCAAAGAAGCAAATATAGACTGGAGGTCTTAGACTCTAAAGACCACTTAAGAGTTTTGAAACTCCTTACATCTGAAACTAATAAGATACCGTGTGTCAATTATACATCAATTTTTAAAAAAGGAGTTTTGAAACTCTTCACCTTTTCACTTCACCGGCAAAACTTCAGATAAGGAAACAGAGCCCAGAAATCCCATCCTGTGAAGAATCAGGATTCCAACTTGTAGTTAGTGGATTTAATTTAACCACATGTTATTTAATCAGGCACTTTTGGCAAAATATTTGTGGTTTCCTCCCCCCTCCCCCCACTAGGGGCATCAGTGCACTTGGAGAATTGAGTAAACTTGACTCCAGTATCCAGAGTGTGGGATAATTAAATTCAAAGACCATTCTACACTTTTAGAGGTTGAATTCCTTACAGACTTCTCCATCTCTGTTCCTATCCCAGGTCATACCTAGAATGAAGCTGCATCCGCCTTGCAGGTGCCCACCAGAAATCCGACCACACCAAGCATCCCATGACATTATTGAAGATTTATGGGCTGCAGTGGAAGGTGGTTACACTGTAGATGACATGACAACTCTTTCTTTCTCTCTGGCAATCAATGACATCCCTTAACTCTTTTCAGATCAAGACTCCTCTGCTCCTTCCAAAACCCTATAGTCCCTACACATCACCTTGTGAAACTCTGCAGAAAGTGAGGTATAGTGAATGCCTCTCCCCATATATCCCCACAAATAATGTTTATCTCAAAGCTCACTCAAACCTATTTGGATTCCTCAGCTCTCTAACTCTGGGGCATAACATTTCTGTCACTATGTCAATACTGTGAGACATCTTGTGGGGGATCTTTATAGCTCATGATGACAGTCCTCAGAGACTGAGTGTTGGTGACCCTGTATTCCAGGCTATGCTGGAACAATTAGGGTCTTTTACCTAGGAATTTTATATTAAAACTAAAGGTCTTCAATTTTTATCCTTGTGTAGGGCTGGGCTTGAAGCATGTTCATTCTGAGCTGTGGGGCAGCCAGTCCATGGAGAGAGATCCAGTCTACAGAGAAAGAAGTATGTTAAGATACTTTTAGCTGGAGGTAATAGAAACCTCGACTCGAGGTTTCAGACATGCCTGAGTGTTTCTATAACGCTTTCTTTGTCGGTTGTTCCTACTTCTCTAGTCTGTGCTGATGGGCCTCTATGTTAATGCCTACCGTGTGATAGGTGTCCAGAGGGCCCCTCCGGGCCTCTCACTCCACGGTTCCCTGATGAGGGGTATCCTAGCTTTATCTTGACCATTCCTTCTCATCTGCTGCCTTTTGTTGCAGGGTCCCCTCTCTGAGCCAGCAGCCTTCTTGGGTAGAGTGGTGAGATGGTCCAAGTTCAGCCACCTATTCCAATGTGCAGTGGATCCAGGGGAAGTACATATGCCCATGTCACACCAGACTACTTTTCTCTCCTGGTCTTTTCATATAGCCAGTTTGCTCCAGTTCTTTTTTGTTCATACATGTCCCTCCTTTGTCAAAGGGGAGAAATTGGCAAGCATGTTGCCTCAGCAGATGGTCAAGTGAAACACAGAATGCAGGTCTCTCTCCTCCTTGTACTCTTCTCTCTAGTTTTCTCACTTGTCTTTCTAGAAGCGACAGCACTTTCCGCCCCTCTCCTATGGGGAGGAGGAAATCTCTTCTCACCATGAATTCTGCACTCCCCACAAAGCAAATCACCATCTATCTCCCTTTCACTCCTCCCCACTTCTCTTACAGAGACTAGAGGGTGGCTGGAGTGGGGAAGAGGCTTCAAACTCTAGGCTGTTTCGGCCCACTTTCGGGGGAGTTGGCTGGCTCCAATTACTGGCAATTTTCTTAAGGGTGTGAGTTAGTTAGCACTTTTTTGCTCTCACCTGTGGGCTCTAATCACCAATTCTGGGAAAAATTTAACACAATATCCTCTTAGAGAAACAACGATAACAACCATCTCTAATATTTCTTGAGCTATTGTTGTGTATCAGGCTATGTATATTTTATATTAATTGTCTTATTTAATTGTCGTGTTGATCCTATGCATTAGGTCCTATTATTACCCCTATTTTTCATGTGAGGAAACTGAGGCTTATAGATTAAGCCACCAGCCTAAAGTCACTCAGGCAATGCGTGGTAGGACTGGTATTCAAGCCCAGTGGTAGGGCTGCAGAGCCCTATGCCATCTACGTCACTAATGCGTATTCACTCAGGACTGGTATTCAAGCCCAGTGGTAGGGCTGCGGAGCCCTATGCCATCTATCATGCTCCCTCTCCTGTATGCGCATGGGAAGCAGTCTTGCCCATTGTTTTTTAAGGAGACATTCCTTGAAGGAGGATTGTCGTCATAGTGTATATGTACTTTCCCCAAAATGCTTCCTAGAGAGACTGAACCAGAACATAATGTCCCTTACACCTTAGCCAGTACTGGGTATTGCAATTTTTTTCCCAATATAATTTTGTTATTATTTTAATTAGCATTTTAAAAAACTTCAAATGAGGTTGATCACTGTATGTTTGCCATACGTATCTACTCTTTGGTCAACTTTATCTTCCAACCTTTGGTCTATTTTTCCCCTCCCCAGGAAATGAAAGGGAAACTTTATTGAGGCCCCAGGGCCAAGGGGTTTGGGCAGGAGGCCGCCCTTCAGGTGGAGGAAGTGGTGGAGAGGCCCTGAACTTCTTACGGCATAGGTTGTTGGTGTGGCCACACTTCTCGCAGCAGTTGACAGCGTGGGGATGCAGGTGTGCGTAATACCTGTGGCAGGTGATCTTGGTGCAGTTGCACTTTTGGGCGAGGGCGGAGGGAGCGCTCGATGATGTATATATCAAGACTATTACCTCTTTGATGCTATATATAATAATATTTCTTTCCAAGAATAAATTTTTTATTGTGGTAAAATAAATATAACATAAAATTTAGCATTTTAAGTGTACCATTGAGTAGCATTAAGTATATTCACAATGTTGTCCAACCATCGCCATTATCCATTTCCAGAACTTTTTCATCATTTCAAAGAGAAACTTTGTACTCATTAAAAAATAACTCTTGATTCACCTCTTCCCACAGCTCATGTTAACCTCTATTCTATGTTCTATGAATTTGCTTATTCTAGAT